TTGTGTGAAAATTTACCTGAGGCCCAATTTACCTACCGCCAAATCTGTAGTTCAGTGAAGTGAGGTTCTTTAATGACTAGTCAGGCAATTCCCCAGACCTAAATCCTACTGAGAACCTTTGGTCAATGGTGAAACGAAGTTTACTGGGCAAGGATATCAGTTCCATCCTGCAGCTGGAGGCTGCTCTACATGAGGCATGGAATAATATACCTCCCCAAACCCTCAAGAATTTGCGTGAGAGTCTTCCTACACCGCTGAGGGACGTAATTAGCGTAAAGGACGCAGCACCAAGTATTAAAACCTCAGTAAGTGTGCAAATATGCATATTATAATTTTTCATGGTATGTGTTTGTGTTTTGGTACGTGTGTGGGGGAGGAGCGGCATAATGCCGTGACTAACAAGGCAAGACTACACCTCCGATCTGTAATTATTCGTATGCATTCATAAATATATTTCTATATAAATGCACAGAAAGTAACAGCAATTAATTTTATCAACCATTCAACATCGTCATTACAAGCTGTGCTAATTCATTCTTGAAAATAGCCATTACTCCTTTGTTTACTAAATCTGAATTGGCTGATATTATTTCTGCCCAGGAGAGATGTCCAAGAACTTCTTTTCACAACTATGTCATATCTGTAACTATGATAATATTGCTAATAATATTTATCCACTCACAGTTTTACTATAAGATAAAAAAAAATATCAACTATAATTTCCTTTTTCAGACGGAAATTCTTGTTGATTATCAAAACATTAAGATAATATAGGCTTTATGCAAATAAAATATTATTAGCCAATTCAGTTGAGAGGGTAATTGATGACTTGTCTAGGAATTTAAACTGATAGATTATAGAGGTATGGGTGTTTGTGAGAAACAATCAGGCTGCAGCATTAGGGTTAAAAACAGTAGTTATTACCGGGATACCTCAGGGGTATTTTTAAAAGATAATATTAAAAATAAAGTTACTAGTAATGGCAAATCAATTGATCAACAAACAAAGAGAGATAGGAGAGGGCAACGAGTGACTAGCTCCCTTAAGGTTCAATATACAAATAGTAGGAGTCTAAGAAATAAGATAGATGAGCTAAGATTACTTGCAGGTGAAGGTAATATAGATATTATTGGTATAACAGAGACCTGGTTCAACCTGAAAGATAGAGAAATGCCTTCTGAATGCAACATACAGGGTTATAAACTATTCCACACTGATAGGGTCAGCAGGAAGGTGGTGGTGTGGCGATGTATGTCAAGAAAATTTAAATTGTTGTCTTATACATGATATAAATTAAAAAACATCGAACACGAATCTTTTTTGGCTACAGTTTCTCGAGGGACGTGACAAATTAATTTTGGGTGTCATTTATAGGCCCCCAAACCTTGATAGGGAGGGCAGTAAGCTGTTATGGGACGAAATTCATAAGGCATCTAGATGTGAAAATGTTGTGATAATGGAGATTTTAACTTTAGACAAATTGTTTGGGAACAATATGACAGGAAATCTTGAGTCCAGTGACTTTCTTGATACGGTTCAGGATTGCTTTTTAGAACAGGTTGTGACAGAACCATCTAGAGGAAAGAATCTGCTTGACTTGGTTTTTGCTAACAAAGATTCACTAATTAATAATCTTGAGGTTAATGATGAGTTTGGGGAAAGTGATCACAAATCACTTAGTTTCAATATATCATGGAATTACCCAGATAACTGCAATCAAATCTCTGTCCCAGATTTTTGCTTGGCCGACTTCATGGAACTGAAAAATTACCTGGGTGGGCTAAATCGGGATGTCCTGACTATGGGTCAGGAAGGTGATCTTGGTTGCTAATATGACGTTTTTCAGAGCATAGTTCTAGCGCCCAGACAACTTTTGTTCCGAGTAAGGAAATTAGATCTAACAAAAATGATCCCAAATGGATGAACAATAGATTAAAATATCTCATTGGTCAAAGAGAGGCATATATAGGCGTATCAAAAGAGGGGATGGGCAATTAAGAAATCAATGTATTCAATTAAAGAGAGAAATAAAGAAAGTAATAAGAAAAGCAAAAAGGGATTATGAGGCTAAGGTCCGCAAGGATTCAAAGACAAACCCCAAAAAGGGGTTTCTTTCAGGTATACAGAAGTAAGATTAGGGACAAGATTGGCCCACTTAAGAGTAACTTTGGTCAGATCACTGACAGTGATAAGGATATGTGTGAAATTCTCAATACCTACTTCCTCTCAGTTTTCACCCAGGAAAATACTAGCGATATTCCTGAAATAATAGATTATGTAAAGCAGGATGAAAATGAACTATGTACGATTGCGGTTACTAGTGACATGGTCCTCAGACAAATAGAGAAACTAAAACCTAACAAATCCCCAGGTCCTGATGAACTGTTTGCAAGGGTGTTAAAGGAATGTAAAGAGGAACTTAAGATACCTTTGGCTAATCTTTTTAACATATCACTACAAACTGGCATAGTGCCTGATAAGTGGAAAATGGCAAATGTAATACCTATTTAAAAAGGCAGGTGACAGGTCCTTGGCTTCGAACTATACACCTATAAGCCCTACCTCCAAAGTGGGAAAATTTATGGAATCAATAATTGCCGAAGCAATTCGTAGCCATCTTGACAGGCACAGATTGATTAATGAATCTCAACACTGTTTTACCCAAAAGGGGGGTTCCTGTCTTAGGAATTTATAACTTTTCACTAAGGTGTTTGAGGAGGTAGATCATGGTAATGAAATATGATATTGTGTATATGGACTTCAGTAAAGGCTTTCGACATAGTTCCACACCAGAGGGTGTTGAGGATACTTAAGGCACACGGGAAAAGGAGGAGAAATTTTTTCCTGGTTAGAGGCATGGCTGACAAATAAACAGCAGAGAGTTTGCATAAATGGGGAGAAATCAGAATGGGGGTACGTCACAAGCGGTGTTTCCCCAGGGGTCAGTGTTTTGGGGCCCCTTTTTTTTTCCAATTTACATAATCAATATAGATGAGGAAATAAATAGCGACATAAGCAAATTACTGATGACACCAAAAAAATGGCCGTCCAATTCATTCTAATGAGGACAAATAGAGCACTCCAGGATGATTTGAATAGACTGATGCAATGGTCGTAGAAGTGGCAGATGCAGTTTAATAAATTTACAAATGCAAAGTTCTAAATGTTGGACAGTTAAATAACCATGGGCCCCATATAAAATAAATAATGTAATCTTAGTACTACTGATTGCAAAAAGAATTTAGGGAATTCTGGTTAGCAGGGAATCTAAAACCAAGAGAACATCATTAGTGTTTTGCAAAAAAAGCTAACAGAATTCTTGGCTTCATATCTAGAAGTATAAATAATAGAAGTCCTCAGGTTGTTCTTCAACTATATATCCTTGGTTAGGCTTTATTTAGACTATGCTGCTCAGTTCTGGTCACCGTATTATAGAATGAATATAAATGCTCTGGAAAACGTACAGAGGAAGATGACAAAGATGATCCCATGTATCAGAAATCTTCCCTATGAGGATAGACTGAGGGCCCTGAATCTGCACTCTCTCGAAAGGCGTAGAATTAGGGGGGATATGAATCGAGGTGTATAAATGGAAAACAGGAATAAATAAAGGGGATGTAAATAGCGTACTGAAAATTTCCAGCCAAGACAGGACTCGCAGCAATGGTTTCTAGTTGGAAAAAAATTTAGATTCAGGAAGGATATAGGAAAGCACTGGTTTGGTAATAGAGTCGTGGATGAGTGGAACAAACTCCCGAGTACAGTTATTGTGGCTAAAACGTTGTGTAGTTTTAAAAATAGGTTAGATAAATACATGAGTGGGTGTGGGTGGGTGTGAGTTGGACCTGACTAGCTTGTGCTGCTGGGTCGGTGCAGTGCTCCATCCTTGAGTGGAGATGACCAGACTGGGTGGGTCATTTGGGGTAATCCGGGGGGTGTCATTGGTCTAATCCGGGGGGGGGGACATGGACCTGCTCCGCAAGGGTCAGTAGGCCTGTTGCAGTGTTCCTTCTTTCTTATGTTCTTATGTTCTTATTAAGCTTTTGGCTTATGCAGTAAAATTCAAATCAATAACAGCACTGACCTTGCTTAGATGGGATGATGGATAAGTTATTAATGCCACTGAGGTTGTCAGTAGTGGAAGTCTCACGTGTAGTGTTGGACTGGTTGGAAGTTGACTTAGTGGTGTGTTGGTCATGGCTTGCTCGTGCATCCAGAAGGAGGTCCAAGTAATCTCCACGTCTTTGACCATTTTTCCTGACTGCTATTGTCTGCTGTACAATGTTTTGGAAAAATCTCACATCTGAAGTCTCTAATTTTAGCCTCAGAATTTTAAAGAGCCTTGGGGAAATATTTATAAGAATAAATTTTAAGGTTCTAATAAACGAGAAGGCAAAGAATGTTTCTGCCCTTTTGGCAAATTCTGTGTCTTCGTTTTTAAAGGAATTACATTCAATTCCAAAAGCACAGGAAGCAATAGCATCCATTGTAAACTTTCCGAAGTTTGCCTTCATATCAACGTAAGGTTTCTTAACAGCTTCTTTAAGAGTAAAAGAAACAAGATCATCAGCCTTGTCACTGATGAGAGGGAACATCCCACGCATCTTGCCGGAGGAAAATGTTGGAGTCATAACTGCTCGAAGAGCCTTCCACTCATCTCCTGACTTGTTACCAAGCATTTCTTTGGTAAGGCTTCCTTCTTCAGCCAGAAACTGCCGACGGTCAACAAAATGATCAAAGTCCTTAATGAAAATATTTTTGAGAAGGTCAGGATCGCCAACCATCAAAACAGGGCGAAATATTTCGTACATTCCAGAGAATGTTGCGCCGCCATACTTGTAGTACACCTGTAAACGTACAGTGTGGCTGTATTCGACGCCATACTCTCAACTCTTCCTTAAGTAATTCTTAAATTTTTTACATATTAACATGAATTGTTTTTAGAGACAAAATTACAAAAATACTCATTAAATATATATTTTTAAATCCAAATAAGAAAAACATTTTCAGTGTATACGTAGCTTGATAAAAATCATCAAGTAGAAATTACCAACCTCATCAAAATAATCCCATCGAGTTTGTGTTAATGATAACTGCTTGTGTATGTGCCCGAGGAATGGTAGAAAGGGCGGTGTAGGAACTCCAAGGGTTGACCAGTGACTGGCGCCAGCGGGAGTATGACCAAGCTGCTAACACCAGTCCAACCACAAACAACCACAACACAATGTCCATTCTGAAATTAAAATATAATCACTTGTTATCTTCACCTACTGAGCGTTTAAAACACATTTCCCTAACCAGCAATAACAAATGTCTAAATTAGACACATGAGAGGCAACTGGATATCTTTAATTGTAGACGTTTCGCCATCCAGTGGCTTTATCAATACAGATTCTAGGACATAACTTGAAGACAGTAGAGCTATATACAAATCAGTCCCTCAGCCTTGGAGTTGGTGTGTATAGCACTGTAGTTGAAGAGATTCTGGGGCACAAGCAAGGTGGCTGGTGCTTAAATAGGCGTCAGTGGATAGGGACGGGTAGCAGACGAGGGCATAGTCACTGCTAGGCAGGATTCCCCAGTGGAAGTAGGTCATACACAAAGGATGGGTTAGTGGTAGTAGTAGTTGCAGTAGCCGTGAAGAAGATTGTGTAGATGTCCTCTGAGCTAAGACTCCATGATGTTGCAGTGTCTGACAAGTTGTACATGAATGGTAGACAGTACCGACAAGATGAAAATTAGACACATGTCGCACATGTGTCTAATTTCCATCTTTTCCGTATTGTATACCACTCAAGCACAACATATGTCTAGATGATAAAGACAGTGAAGCATTAATTTGTCTGCTCTTCAGGCTCCGATAACTCATTACAGTATTGACCGGGTGTGGATGTGTGAATTGCTGATTACTTTATAACTTACTCATGATTGTAACCATATATAAACATAAGTAAGGAAATTTACTTACTTACATAATTCATTACTTTTGTAACTTGTGAGTTCATTACCTTTGTACCTTGTTCAGCTATCAAAACTTTGCGGCCCAGTCCCTGGACCCATTATGTACCTCGGTAATGTTTTGACTGTGCAAGAAAGGTATAAAATACCGACAATATGAAAGTTAAGACACATGTGCTACATCTGGATATCTTTATTGTAGACGTTTCGCCATCCAGTGGCTTTATCAATACAGATTCTAGGACATAATAGGAAGACAGTAGAACTATATACAAAAGATGAGGTAATCAGTCCCTCGGCCTTGGAGTTAGTGTTCACAGCATCGTGGTGGAGGAGAGTCTGGAGCAAAGGCAAGAAGACTGGCGTTTTTATAGGCGTCAGTGGATGGGACGGGCAGCCTTCTTCACGGCTGCTGCAACTAACCCATCTCTTTGGGAAGGACCTACTTTCCACTGGGGAATCCCGCCTACCCTGACTGCCCTCGCTCCTGCCCGTCCCATCCACTGACGCCTATAAAAACGCCAGTCTCCTTGCCTTTTCTCCAGACTCTCCTCCACCACGATGCTGTGAACACTAACTCCAAGGCCGAGGGGCTGATTACCTCATCTTTTGTATATAGTTCTACTGTCTTCCTATTATGTCCAAAAATCTGTATTGATAAAGCCACTGGGTGGGGAAACGTCTACAATAAAGATATCCAGATGTTGCACATGTTCTTAACTTTCATATTGTCGGTATTTTAACCCTTTTTGCACAACTTGTCAGACACTGCAACACATGGAATCTTGGTTCGAGGACATCTACAAGACCTTCTTCAGGGCTCTGAAAAACAAACCCATTTTTTTTGGAAGGCCCTATTTCCACTGGGGAACCCCCGTTTCCCATACTCCCCTCGTCCCCCTGCCCGTCCCACCCATCGCCAAAAAACGCCGTCTTCTTGCCTTGCTCCAGACTCTCCTCACCACGATGCTGTGAACACTAACCCAAGGGCCCGGGGGGACTGTTTACCTCATCTTTTTATATAGTTTCTACTTCTTCCCTTTTTATGTCCTAGAATCTGTATTGATAAACCACTGGATGGCGAAACGCTAAATAAAGATACCAGTGTTCACTGGTCTTAACTTTAAATTTTGTCGGTTTTTATCCCTTTTTGCAAAACTTGTCAGAACGCAACATCAGGAAATTTTTTGGGTTCAGAGGACACTACAAGACCTTCTTCACGGCCGCAACAAACCCCCTCTCTTTGGAAGGCCCATTTCCACGGGGGGAATCCGCCTACCAGTGATCCCCGCCCCCCTGCCCGCCCCATCCCTGACGCCTATAAAAACCCCAGTCTTCTTGTTTGCCCAGACTCTCCTCCCCCACGATGCGTGAACACTAACTCCAAGGCCGAGGGACTTTTTTACCTCATCTTTTTTTATAGTTCACGTCTTCCAATTATTCCTGAATCTGATTGATAAAGCCACTGGATGGCGAAAATCTACAATAAAGAAATCCAGATGTTGCAAATGTGTTTTAAACTTTCATAGTCGGTATTTTATCCCTTTCTTGCACAATTGTCAGCACTGCAACATCATGGAATCTTGGTTCAGGGGAATCTACAAGACCTTCTTCCCGGCTGCTGAACTAACCCCATTCTTTGGAAGGCCTACTTCACTGGGGAATCCCGCCTACCAGTGACTGCCCTCGCTCCTGCCCGTCCCATCCACTGACGCCTATAAAAACGCCAGTCTTTTTCCCTTTGCTCCAACCTCCTCCCCCACGATGCTGTAACACAACCCAAAGGCCGAGGGACTGTTTACCTATCTTTTGTATTAGTTCACTGTCTTCCTTTTATGCCTAGATCTGTATTGAAAAGCAGGGGATGGCGAACGTCACAATAAAGATACCCAGATTTTGCACAGTGTCTTAATGTTTGACTCCCGCCTCGGATAGGGGGTTGACCTTTTGTGACTTGATAAACCCCACTGTGTGGCAAACGTATTTTAATAAAGGATCACTTTATATGCTTTAATGTTTAAGTTTCCATTGTTCAGTTTTTTTTATCAATTTTTTTTCCCGTGGGGAACATAAAAAAATTATGAACTGAGAGTTTTTGTGCATTAGCCAGATGTTTTTGTGACATTACTCGATGTGTTTGTGACATTGCCTGTGAGACCTGTTTGGTGCTCTCTGTAAATCTGAACCGGATGCCCTCCTTGAGCAATTTAAACCGCAGCTGAAGAAGAGTTAGGGTTTGCTAATTTGGGAATACGGCGATTAAGGGAGAACAAGAGGTTTTCTAATAATCCCCTGTTGTGAGCCCCGGGATAGAGGGGAATTTGGTCAGGGGCCCCGGGCAACAGGAAACCCAAGCGGGATCAAGAAACGTTGGGGGGGGAAAACAACGAGAAACCAGAAGACTATGTGAAATTTTAAACCCCCTTTTCGGTGCTACCTGAGAATGTGGGTGTTCTACAAAAACCACAATGAGCCCCAAAGGAAAGCATTGGGATGAGTGGACATCCCTAGAAAACCCCCAATGAAGACCACGAGAACGTCTTTACGAAGCCACAAGTGAAAGGGTATGACCCAGCGAAGTAAGTCGATACTGGGAACTCACACTACGTGCCAGGGAAGGGAAAGACTTTTTGTTGTTGGGGGGGCCGATTTGGGTACTGGATAGGGGATTTTGCTTGAATGTGGGGAAAAGTTCAAAAATAGGAGGGGGTGGCGAGTATACGGGGATGTATTTTATTGTCCCTTCTGCTTGTTAAGGGAGGGCAGTGTCTAGCTCCCCATCCCCCTCCCCTTTTTTTCCACCCGGAAATCTTACTGAAAAAGGGAAACCTCCCCCCAAAAAAATCTGGAATCATTTGGGGATTGGCCCAAAAAACTGTTGGGACAACTCACAAATTCAGAGTCCCCTTTTTAAAATTTTAAGGTGTAAACCCCCAACCCTTTCCCATCTTTCGTTAAAAAAATTTTTTTTTTTTCAATAAGTTTTCGAATCTTTTTTTCATAAATTTCTGGAGCCCCCCTGAATACTTTTCTAAAATACGGTGAAAACTTAAAAGACACCGTTTTTCGGGGAAAAAAAAACTTTTTTGTTTAATTTTTTTTTCTTTTTTAAAAATTTTTTTTATGATTTTTTTTTTCTACCCATTATTTTCCAAACCACCTTGGAATACTTATGGGGGTTTACAGGTAAAAGTTAAAAGTAAATTCCCGGTTTTAAATCAATCAAATTCATTCTCATCCTTTTTGGAATTTAAAAACCCGTTTAAAATAACCCCCAGGAACACTCTTTTCGAATTTTTTAAAAGTTTGGGTTTTTTTACCCTCGTTTATTTAAGAAATTTTTTGGGAGAATTTTATTTTCGCCCTTTTTTTGTGGTTTGGTTTGGGGAAAACCTGGGCCCCAGACCATCATTTTTTTCATTCCCTTTTTAAAAAATCAAAAAAACCTTTCTTTTTTTTTTTAAAAGGGGATTAAACCCCTTTGGGTTTTTTGGCGGGCCGATGAACCCCCTTTTTTTTCTTTCTTTAATAACGGGTAACCTTCCGTTTTAAATTACTTTGGCAAGCAGGAATTAACCCCGTTTTTTTGAAAATTTTTTTTTTTTTTTTCCAGGGGAAAAATTAGAAAATAGGAAAAAACCTTTTTGGAGAAGGATTAATTAGGAAAAGGGGAAAAAAGGTTTTCAAAAAATCGGAGAAAAAAAAGGAGGGGGAAAAGGAGAAAGAAAAAGAGAGAAAATGAGAAAGGGGGGGGAAAAAAGGAGGGGAAAAAAGGAAAAAAAAAAGGGAAACAATTGAAAAAAAAATCAAGAAAAAAGAAAAAAAAAAAAAAGGGGGCTATGATTATCGTGAGGAGAGAGCTAAAAAATACGTGGGAAAAATTAAATTAAAGAACGTAAAAGAGCAAAAATAGAAATTGAGGAAAAAGCAAAAGAAAAATTGGGAGAGAGAGAAAGATCGCGAGGTAGAGCAAGCACTCTTGAAATAGAAAAAAAAAGTTAACTTTTACCAACAAACAATTAAGGAAGGATAATGGAACACGTGCAGTCAGTGCCATATTCAAACCTAATTTACCTCCCCTTCACAGAGGGGTTTGGGCATAACTTTTCTTTTTCAGGTTTGAAAAACTGCTACCCTCTGTGAAGGCCTGCTGACACCCGGGCTACCGGTTTTGGAATGTTTTTTTCTGGTACGCTTTGAATATCTATGCAATTTGTTTCAGGGTATATTAATTATAACCTACTTAAAAAGGCAATCCTTAAAGCATACCAAAA